GACGAAGCAGGTGAGGAACTCCATCAGGGATTCCCCAGTCTCTGAGCTCTAGGACTCGGCATCGCCTGGGAGCCCGCCGTCTGGGGAACCGTTCCGTTACGTGGGTATGGCTGCCCATCCTAAAGACCTCCTTCGTGAGGAACTACACTCTACCTCAGTGAGCTCTCCAGTACGGTTAACCCTCGTGATACAAACAGCCCTTCCACCGCAGTCCGTAACAGAAATGTAATTTTCTGGTTTTAACATTCTCAACGATCCCCTGCTGTTTTTACTGCAACAGCAGATATTCCGCTGTGGACACTGACGACCCTCGAGGTCTCCTTCTAGAAGGCTGCGCCAAGCTAATGTCTTTTTGCGTGAGTTATTTGGGGTTGTTCCTGAGCATATGGTATTCTAATAATCTCAACTGCCTGTTTTTGTAAGATTGCCTTTCAAATGTTATCATGTCATTTCAACCTTTCTTCTTCCTCTGTGTTAAAAATACTGCTACACCAAGCGTGACAGAATTTGGTTTACATACTCAATTCTTTTCTAGAAGCCACCAAAGAAGATACTGGACAAAGAAGACCCCTCTACCCCACACCACCTTTAGGACTTCTAAGAGCCAATGAACTCCATTCCTTGAACCTTTTATATCTACCTATTTGGAAATAATGTTGTACGTATTTTCATGTTATTTTTAACATAACATGGCTTTTGGGAAATCTGCAAGGTTTATGAAGCCATGATGACCATCTAATTGCATAACACTTTCATCATCCCAAAAGAAACTCCTTACCCATCAACGATCACTCCCCACCCCCCTCTCCCCAGGCCCTGGCAACCACTAAGAAATATACTCCCTTTCTGTGCAGACATCCCGTACAATTTGCCTATTCCGAACATTTCATTCAGGTGGAATCACACTATGGGATCTGGATTCTTTTGTGTCTAGATTCTTTGTGTGTGCTCTGCTTCCAAGGTTCACGCGCGGTGTGGCGTGCACCGGTGCTTCATTCCCGTTTACGGCTGAACAGCCACTTGTACGACGCACCACATTCCGTTTATCCCCCATCAGCTGGTGGGTGTTCTGGCTGTTCTGGCTTTTCGATCATCATAAATAACGCTGCTATAAACATGTGAATACAAGTTTTTGTGTACACGTATATTTCCAATTCTACTGGGCATGTGTCTAGGAGTGGAATTTCTCGTCCATATAGGAGCTCTATGTGTAATGCTTTGAGGAACTCCAGTGACATCTTAATGGGATTCAGTCCCACTGTATGGCAGTTACTGGTTGATCCAGTGAAGATGTTACTTCCATCAATATCAAAAGGTTTTCTATAATAAACTTTCCCAACTGCTCTGTGGCCTGTCCCTCTATCATTAAAGGGAATTAGACTCATCTGCCACCAGATGAGTAAGTCTTATCATTGGTTTCCTCATCGTTCTGGCTGCCTTCAAACTAAGTGGAGATATATCTGAGAATTTTCACAGTGAGGAGGGTGGGCTGCTGTGACCACGAAGGACAGTTGGGTAGGGTTCAAGTGTCATGTTCCAGGTACCAACCAGGTCCAAAACCTAGATATTTTTAGCAGACTGAGAGACTGTGAGTCTCTAGGTCAGCAGCTGGCAAACTGCAGCCCCTGAGCCAAATCCAGCTAGCTGCCTGATTTTTTAAAACCTGCCAACTAAGAATTATTTTTACATTTCTAAATGGTTACATTTTAAATAGTTATATAAGTACCTATATATAGCATCTTCAATTTGAGTCTTGGCTCGTGAAGCCTGCAGTAGTTACTATCAGGTCCTTTAAGGAAAAGTTTATGGACCTCTGCCCCAGGTGATACTCCTGCCAATTAAAGTCTGCCAAGACCAGTGAATAAAGCGGCACCCTGTTATTATCACTAGAGAGGGGACGTCCAGTAACCAGAGCCCACCCAACCTGGAAGGTCCAGTGACCCAGGAAGTGACTCAGAAGGCCCACGAGTACACAGAATGGAAACAGGAAAAGCAGTGGACGCACATGGGACAGGGATGGTGAGTTACGTCACCGAAACTTGGGGAAACTCCACAAACGTTTATTCCTCCCAACAGAGAACATCTCACTGGCAACTCGACAGCTGGTGTCTCCCTGTCTAGTGTGTTTTACCTACAGTGTTCGAGTTAACACGTGACCACGTTTTGCTTCATGGAACCCATCATCCCCATCCTCATCCTCTTCCTGCTCGTTCTGACCCACTCTCCTTTGGCCTGCCAGGTGTCAACAGCAAATCCTTATTCCTTTGGGCTTGGAGTGTTGCTGCCTCCTCCTATTATAAGCTAATTAAGTTACACAATGCTTACAGCTCAGGGAATACATCATTATGACTGCCCTCGAGGGAATATTACACTTGCCAACTGGTAATTACTGTAGGCCAGGTTGTTTTTTCTGTATCCCACTTAAAGAGGGCAAACGCCTGTTTCCTTGCCAAATGAAATGTTTTCTCTAGCCCCCTAGCTCCTCGAAGTAATGACAGTACACAGTTAGCACAAATAAGGCCCTCAGTTTCACCCCGAGATTCATCACAACACTCCTATTTTTCTAGAGCCAGAATTATCTACTCCTTTTGTCAGAGTTTCAAGTCCTTCAGGAGAAGGAGTTTTGTCGGTTTGCGTTTGCTCTGTTCTATGACGATGAAAAAGAAGACCGAGTTTCTGCTCTTGCTCAGACTCCCTCTCCTTTCTGGTACATGTCAGGTTTCCGTGGGGGCTCCTTTTCATCCAATGCAAAGTTGGACGTCGGGACACTTACTACTTTTCAATCTTTATTATGACTCCTGCCTTCTTTCTAGTTTTAATCTTTCTATTGTTGTTCTTACTCCGTTTTGCTATTTTAGTATCCTAATAGTCCTGCCAAACTACCTCTTTTTAAAACTTTCCCATTAGCCCTCCAGCTTTCAGTAGAGGTCTGGTCTCAGCAAAAAATAGCCCCATTTCCTTTCCTGGCCCTTCTATATGCCTGCTTGTTAGTTCCTGGGCCTTTTTTTTTTGAATGCCCGCCAATTTCTGGCGGGGGGGTGGGGGTGGGCAAGGGGGTTGGTGAGCAGAGAAGTAAGTCCATCACTGTGTTCATGTGTTAGTCTGAATTATTTTACCAGCTCCCAACTATGGAGAAACTACATTGAAACAGGATGGGTGGGAAATTTATGGACAATACAGATAAGGAACTTATCTACACATTCTTCTAAAATATAATTTCATCTTTCAGAAGACAGTTCAACAAAAGTTTGAGAGTTTAAAATATATACATACACAGTGGGAATTTTCCTTCCAATAACAAATCATCGGTAAGAAACCAAAACCACAGTCTAGCCTCCAGTCTGAATGCCGGTGATTCTCAGACCGTCTCTTCCCCATACCTTTGTGTACTTAGAAACTCTCTTCTCTATCCGCAGGATCATAAGCTTTCAAAAACTCTCTTCCCATCCCACTGTAATTGGGGAATGCTTCTAAAAAATATATGATCTATACAAAATCCCAAGGAAATCAGAAGTACCTCTTTTATATTTTTAAGTTATATTTTATTGATTATGCTATTACAGTTGTCCCAATCTTTCCCCCTTTGTCCCCTCCACCCAGCACCCCCCCCCACTCTCTCGGGCAATCCCCACGCTACTGTTCCTGTCCCTGGGTCATTTCCTACACTGTACTGTACATCCCCACGGCTATTCTGTAACTACCGATTTGTACTTCTTAACCCCCTCACCTCCTCAACCATATTACGACTAGAAAAGGTACCACATGCACTGAATAGGGATCTTCACACAGAATAGACTGTGAACCACTTAAAGGGTCTTTACAACAAGGTGGACACACCCACCGTTTGTGCATGATGTGAAGCTGTCTGGCCTGAAGGGCAAAGAAACCAGCTGTGATTTCTCCATCCCTCCTCCTCTGGAATCGGCAGGGCTTGCCTTCCTTATCATCCTAATAAACCTCATCAAACTTCTGCTCTGGGGGTCCTGGCCTCAGGTCCCTGAGCAGAATTTTCTCACAAGATGCAAAGCGGGATGCATATGTATTCTATTTGATGCGCTTTTTATCAAGTGACCCATTCTAAGGGAAGAACCCATCATTCTAGAAGAGTGACCAGTTCTGGAAGGCGGGGGTGGGCCCAGGGAATCAAATCCACACAGAGAGAGATCTCGGAAGTGCCAAACGGTAGTGAAAATTCTATCTCAACTATGCATGACTCTTGGTGGTGAAAGACAGTTGTTTTCAAGCTCACAACTGGCATTCTCTTTCATAACTTATGGTGCCGGCAATCCGTCAACGTGAGACCGAGCAGGAAGCTGCTGCAACGAGCGTGCGTGTCTAGCTCCTGCCTTTGAATGGTCTGCCGCCTCCCTCCAGAACGCTTTCTCCAGATGCTGCCAGGAGACACTCTGTAATACCTAAACCACAAATCATCACATTCCCCACCCTCGGAGCCAGGGCTTGTCCTTGAGCTCCCCACATAGTGCGATATTAACCAAGCTGGCCACCGATACAATGGCTCTTTACAAACCCAGAGGAAACGCTGCCCCGCCATCTGTTTGACGCACTCAGAAGCGGACCTCCGAACAGACAAACACCCGCGGGAGGTGTGCTCGGAGAAGAAACTCGGGGCGTTGCAGACACGTCGCCGGGGAGGAATCCTGGCTGGCTCAATGCATATTGTATCAATGTAAACATGTCAGGCGTATAACTGCATCTAAAATTAGAGTGAGTACGTCTCAGACATGGAACCGTCTTGCAGAAACAGAATTACAGGCAGGCCACTCACTTCACATTCTTTTGCAACATCCAAGAAGGCTGCCTTTCCTCGGAGTAAGGAAACGGTGCTCATGTCTGGCTATTTTAAGAACTGATGTGGGGCTTTTTTAAATGATTTTTTAAATTTTATCTCCTCTGACACACTGAAGTCATCTAAACCAAAAACAGTGTTTTCAGACTGTGATACCAACACTTAGAGAGACGACCGGCGAACGGATACTCACACTGGAAAGGTGCGGAGACTTGATCCTGCCCGAATCTGAAAGGGAACGAACCTTCCGTGGACTGCTCCCCCGAGAGCACCTTCTGGGCTGCGAAGTACTTGGGCTTGAGCACGTACTCCTGGGCCTGGCCGTGATGAATCATCACGTTCTGGGAGGAAAGGGGTGTCACTCTGGGGAGAAACAAAGTGAGGATAAAGGAATAAGCAATGGACATTTAAAAGTCAACTAAGAAGGAAAGAATACGTTAAATTTAGAAAGGAACAAATTCCGTGCCAGGCTCAATTTTTTTTTCCCCCATACTGTAGCTGGACATTTACAACACACAAAGAATTAACAGCTTACCCTTGGAAGCCTCCAACATAACAGGGACTCGCCTGTCTAGTCAGGAAGATTAAGGATAAATGGGCCACCACTGGTGGATTCTAACAGAGGATGCAGAGCACAGCTACCATGAGCCTTCGTGCCAAACACATGGCATTTATAAAATAAAAAGGCACAGGTACATATATTAAAAGGCGTATTTTATGTAAAACGATAAATAAGTAGGCAGCATTGAAAATGGGTAGAGAAGAAAGGGGAAGTAAAATACAGGAAAGGGATTAGGTCAGAAATTCCAAGAGTGATCAGTTAAGCAAAACAGGACAATGTGAGCCTGTACAAAGCACAGTGGGACCTTGCTAGTGCCGCAAGGGAAGATGGGCAACCTCTCTGAGCCTCGCTTTCCCATGCTGTGCCACAGAATCTCTGCCACGCAGGGCTAGGAAGCAAACGCTTGTAAAAGTCACAGCATAAAACTGAAAGCCAATTTCAATGATCTTTTACAATATAAATTATGATGGTGACAGGAAGAACAGGCCCTCGTTCGATCTTTTATGATGTACCTCCCAATGATTAAAATTGTACGATTCGGGTTAAGTGTTCTATAATTACCAGTTTCTAAGAATAAGAAGAATAAGAAGAATGACTAGTCATAATGTCATTACTTCTTTAATAACATGAGTCAAGGTCTCTGGGGACTCCTGAACAGAGTTACTGTGTTTTTACCCTGCTGGCCCGACCCTCCCTTTCCCTAGGACAGTTCTCTTCTGTGGCATGTAATGTATACTTTAAAATAATAAGCTTCACCCAGACTTAATCACTCCCTGAGAGACAGAACTGAAATCATTAGCTAAGTAAGACTAATAAATAATGAAGAATATAAAGAAGATATACCAACTAATTCCAGAAAAAAGGCTGAACTGCTACTAAAAGTATATGGACAGAGCATTTTAGCAGCAGACAGAGCCTTTGGAAGGAAACCTGCTCTCCAGTGTAATCTTAAGTTTTATTGACTGTGACACATTAAAACCCTCTAAACTGAACAACATTTTTCCAAACTACAATACTTTAACTTAGGCAAATGGTTCACAGAGCTATACTCACAGTGATAAGATGCCACAAAACCCCCAAAAGTGCCCTAAATGAAAGACTCTGAATGAGAGGAAGAAATGACACCGTACCAGGTGAGTCTGAAATGCGAACTGTCAACCCCCCAGAGACACCACACAGGGTCTCATCAGAAGCAGCAACAGAGGCCTGAACAAACTCAGCCTGTTCGAGGTATTTCAGCTGGGGCTGGTGACCGAGCTATTCGGGGAGACAAGGTGTCCATGAGAAACAAAGGAAAAAAAGAAGCTGGGATTAAGGGTGCTTCCCTCTTAACCAGTCAATGATCTAGATCTATCGCTTTACATGTATGTTTTGAGGAGGGAATTTCTCTATTCTTCAACCTTTTCTAGAGGGACTTCAAATACAAAAACACATCGTTGGTACTCTGTTCAGCTCACAAACATACTTTGGGAGCATTTTCATAAATAAGAAATTGTAAATGCTACTTAAACACCTATAGTCGTTCAAATGGCTTTCAGAATGTCTTTCATGATCTGCTCAGTATTAAGAGACAGTACTACGCCTTTCCTTTGGCTGTAGTATGAAATGACTTTCAAATGTCTTTTTCTAATCTTGGAGAATGTTATTTGATTTGATGTTATTTAAATGTTTTAAAGCAAGCGTTTAAATTTAACTCCCTAGTATAAGTAAGGAATTTTCTGTTTTCTTTCCTTCCTTCTTTTAACTGATGGGTTTTACTTATATTTTTATTTTTTTAACTTGTGTTGAATTTATTGGGGTGACATTGGTTAATAAAATTATATAAGTTTTGGGTGTACAATTCTAAATACATCATCTGTATATTGTATTGTGTGTTCACCAGCCCAAGTCAAGTCTCCTTCCATCACCATTTATCCCCCTTCACCCTCTTCTACCTCCCCTCAACCCTCTTCCCCTCTGGTAATCACCATACTGCTGTCTGTGTCTAAGTTTTTTCTTTGCTTAATCCTCTTACTTTTTTCTCTGAACCCTGTAATACCCCTCCCTTTTAAGAGCTCTAAGTCTGTTCTCTATCTATGAGTCCATTTCTATTTTGTTAGTGTGTCTTATTTATTAGATTCCACATATAAGCGAAATCATATGGTACTTGTCTTTCTCTGACTCACTAACTTCACTTAGCGTAGTGCTCTCCAGGTCCATCCATGCTGTCACAAAAGGTAAGCTTTTCTTCTTTTTTACAGCTGAGTAGTATTCTGTTATGTAAGTGCACCACAGCTTTTTTATCCACTCATCTACTGATGGACCCTTGGGCTGCTTCCAAATCTGGGCTACTGTACATAACACTGCAATAAACATAAGGCTACATATATTCTTTTGTAGTAGTGTTTTCAGTCTCTTCAGATATATTCCCAGAAATGGAATTGCTGGGTTAAAAAGCAGTTCCACCTTTAATTTTTTGAGTTAATTCCATACTGTTTCCCCCGTGGCTGCACCGATCTGCGTCCCCATCAACAGTGCAGCAGCGTTCCCCTTTCTCTGCATCTTCACCAGCAGTTCCGTTTGTTGATTTATGGATGACAGCCATTCTGACAGCCGTGAGATGGCATCCCATTGTGGTTTTAATTTGCATTTCTCTGATTAGTGATGTCGAGCATCTTTTCATATGTCTATTGGCCATCTCTATATCCTCTTTGAAGAAGTATCTATTCAGGTCCTTTGCCCAATTTTTTTCCTTTGCTCATTTTTAATTGGATTATTCTACACTTTTGGTGTTGAGTTGAAGTTCTTCACAAATTTCGGATATTAACCTTTTATCATGTGTATCATTGGGGAATACGTTCTCCCATTCAGTGGTTTGTCTTTTCGTTTTGCTGAAGGTTCTCTTTGCTGTGCAAAAACTTTTTAGTCTGATGTAGTTCCACTTGTTTGTTGTTTTCCTTGCCCAAGGAGATATAAGAGGAAAAAAACAGTGCTATGGGAAATGCCTGAGATTTTGCTGCCTATGTTTTCTTCTAGGAGTTTTATGGTTTTGAGTCTAACACTTAAGTCTTTAATCCATTTTCAGTTTATTCTTGGGTATGGTTTAAAAAGGTGGTCTAGTTTCTTTCTTTTCTTTTTTTTTTTTTTGCATGTATCTGTCCAAAGTTCCCAACACCATTTACTGAATAAACTATCTTTACCCCACTGTATGTTCTTGCCTGTTCTGTCAAATATTAATCGACCATAAAAGCATGAATTTATTTCTGGACTCTCTATTCTGTTCCATTGATCCATACATCTATTTTTATGCCAGTAACATGCTGTTTGGATTACTATGGCCTTAAAATATAGTTTGATATCAGGAAACATGATTCCTCCAACTTTTTTCTTCCTTCTCAAGATTACTGTGGCTCTTTAGAGTATTTTGTGGTTTCTATATAAATTTTTGGAAAATGTGTTCTACTTCTCTGAAATATGCCATTGGTGTCTTAATAGGAATCACGTTGAATCTGCAGATTGCTTTGGGTAGTATGTGCATTTTGATGATGTTAATTCTTCCTATCTATGAACACAATATATGCTTCCACTTATTTGTATCTTCTTCAATTTCTTTCTTCAGTGTCTTATAATTTTCCAAGTACATGTCTTTTACTTCCTTGGTTAAATTTGTTCCTAGGTAATATTTCTGATGCAATTGTAAATGAGATTGTTTTCTTATTTTCCCTTTCGGATAGTTCATTATTGGTGTATAAAAATGCAACCAATTTCTGAATATTTATTTTGCATCTGGTTACTTCACTTAATTCAGTTATCAGTTCTAGTATTTTTCTCGTGGATTTTTTAGAGTTCTCTACATACAGTATCATGTCATCTACAAATAATGACACTTTCACTTCTTTCTTTCCCATTTGGATGCCTTTTATTTCTTCTCTTTGTCGACTGCTGTGGTTAGGACTTCCAGTACTATGCTGAATAAGAGCAGCAAAAGGGGACTTCCTGTCTTGTTCCTGATCATAAGGAAAACACTTGTGCAATAGTTCTTGCCCCTCGAGTATGATGTTGGCTATGGATTTGTCATATATGACCTTTATTATATTGAGGTACATTCCCTCTAGTCCCACTTCACTGAGAGTTTTGATCATAAATGGGTGCTGGATTTTGTCAAATGCTTTTCCTGCATCTCTTGATGTGATCATGTGGTCTTTATCCTTTACTTTGTTTATGTGGAGTATCACAATTATTGATTTGTAGGTGTTTTAACGATCTTGTATCCCCCATGTTAAATCCCACTTGATCATGATGTACAACCTTTTAAATGTATTTCTTTTAAATGTAGTTTTCTAATATTCTGTTGAGGATTTTAGCATTCATGCTCATCAGAGATATTGGCCTATAACTTTCTTTCTTTGTAGCCTCTTCATCTGGTTTTGGAATTAGGATAATGTTTGCCTCATAAAATGGGCTTGAGAGTCCTCCCTCCCCTTGAATTTTTTGGAATAGTTTGAGAAGGAAAGGCATTAGTTCTTCTTTGAATGTTTGGTAAAACTTAGCCATGAAGGCATCCAGTCCAGGCCTTTTTGTTTTCTGTAAGCTTTTTGATTACTGCTTCAATGTTATCAGTTGTAATCTGTCTGTTCAAATCTTCTGATCCTGATTCAGTTTTTGAAGAAGTATATTTATAGGAATTTATCCATGTCATGCAGATTGTCTAATTTGTTGGCATATAGTTGTTCATAATATTTTCTTACAATCCTTTGTGTTTGGTGTCAGTTGTTACTTCTTCTCCTTCATTTCTGATTTATTTATTTGAGTCCTTTCTCTT